CTTGATAAACACATATGCAGTTTTTCTTATGTTTTGTAATAAATTTTGAATTATTTATATATTGTTATTTATTGAATGAAAATATTTACTCCTTTGTGAAGAACTGTTTTATATTTAGATTTGAACATTTCAAAATCCAGAATAAAATTTATTTTTTTCAATTAACTAATTTGAGTCTTATCTCTCTATGAAGACCTGGCATTTGCTGATGATATGCTATCTTCTTAGACCATGCTTCTCCTGGTCTTTGTTAAAAAAAAACTGAAACATTTTAAACATTTTTTAAGTGACCAAAACATTTGGTAAAATTCCAGATATATCAAATATATGGAAGGTTCAAAATTGGGACTTTGCATTTCCCATTAGGATGTACTTTTTTTTCAGGAAAATATTTTTCTTCTTAGTATTTTTTTCCTCTCTGAAAACCTAGTCTCTTTCCTCTGAAGATTACACAGATTGTCTTATGTTAGATGAGACTTGAACCATTACAAGTTTCAAACTACTTTCCTCTAAGGTTTGAAAAGAGGTTTAACTATACTAAGTGTCCCCATGCTCTGCCTGTGGTGAGGTATTTCTGATTTAAGCTATGGTGATGAACTGGGGAATTGTTAGCAATAACAATACAACCACATGAACACCAAACATTTGAGGCTTCCAGGGAACCAGTGTACTATCCCTGAAGAAGCCCTGTTCCCTGAAGGAGGAAGGAAACCAGCTCAGACTGCAGCAGTGAGTGCCCGTGGAGGTAACATCACTTCTAGAATACAGACCAGTGGTCCAGGAATCCCATGGGATAATTATGTCTGAAATTATTTTAAAAGGGGGTGGTCATCATCAAGGGGTCAAACTAAATTTTCCTAGAGCAGAGAGGCCACAAATTAAATTATAATTTTATTATCCCTTTGTGTGATCATTACTAGGGTACATATAAAATCCTAGTCAACCTAAATTTTTAGAAATTAAATTTTGAGAAATTAGCTGAGTACTTTGCAAATACTTTAAGCAGAAGGTAGCGAAACATCTTGTTAGTTACCCAAGTTGGTAGCACCAAAGGCCTTAAAGACAAATAGTATATGGAGTCAATGTTGTTTTTTAAAATAAGCCTGATTTCCTAGTCTGTATTCATAATCTTTCAGTCTTCCATAGTTGCTACACATGTGACTTTCTACTTTCCTTTCTCCACTTGTTACTACCTAAGTATTTTAGCTTGTTGCCATTTTTAACAGTGAACATAGAGTTGTGTCTGTTTCCATGCCAACAGATCCTCTTGGGAGAGCATCTTCGGTAAAAGCCCTGAGGTGGTGACCCCTCTGCAGCTCCAGTGTTGCCAGCGCCTGGTCGAGCTTTGCAAGCAGTGCCTGCTAGTGGTTTACAAATACACAACGGAAACAAGAGGACCCATCTCAGGCATTGGTTCCGACTGGGGTAGCACCAGGTACTTAAAAAAAAACCCTCACTCCTCTGTGTGTTTTGTACAAAGGCATGTCATAGCACAGTTTAAAATTCAGAGGGTTTTAAAAAAATATTGGGAGTCTTATGCTTCTACACCTAGGGATGGAGCCAGAGACTGAGAATCCATACATGCTATAATCTTTCATTTTATATAAGCTTGGCCTTTAAGGGACTGAGCAGGAATGCCAGTCACAAACTTAAACGTGCTGCAAATAATATGATTGGAAATAAATAAACTTAGTTTGTACATTCTTCCTTCCAGAAACCCAGTGAGAGCACTAAAATAATGTGGTAATAATTTAACTGTGGTTTCCCAGTAAGGATACTGTAATATTTACCCTTGAGAACTTGTCAGTTCAGAAGGTAATGTTGCTTTAATTTTATTTTTCAGTATTGCCACATCTACATCATGAACAGATCAGTAGGAGGTGAATTTTTGTTAAGTTCTGTTTCGAACTTGAGTTTCGTGAATGTCCAGTTAAAATGGGTAGTTTTCTAGAAGCAAAAACAACAACAACAAAAAGAGCAAGTAAAAATAGCGGCAAAAGTTTAACAGCCGTACTTTGAGGCCTGTACTAATCTGGTCAGAGGGACACAAAGGACAGTTTTTGCTCCTAGCCCTCCTAGGTTGACTAAGTTCCAGGGGACTATGAGCATCTTTCAGAATGTCCTATAACTGTGGTGAGTCATCTATCCTCTTGATTAAGGAGGCCCTGGAGACCCCACCAGATGGACCTGAACCAGTGTCCAGTCTACAAAGAGGAGGGTCAACACAGAGGAATCATTTCCTCCATGCTTCCAAGCAAAGCCAGCCATGGTCGAGCAGGACCTTTGACTTATCTTCACATAGACAGAACTGGTAAAAGAAAGGAGCTGGGGGCTCCTCTCAAGGCCATGTGACCTCTGAGGAACAGATCCTCAAATGGCCTTAAGAGTAAAAATAAATTGGTTTATCTGGGCAAACTAACTGTAGGGTCTTAAACACCCAAAAGGAAAGTATAACCAGAGATTAATGGGGTCAATATAATATTTTGAATCCATATATATAGCTAAAGTCTACATAACAAGAAACAATACCAGACAGGAGAGTTGTTAGCCTTTGAGTTGTTGGCCAGGGTGGACCAAGAGACTCCCAGACAGTAACCCAGCATAGAACTGGGAAAATGAACAGCAGACCCCAATCTTATCTAAAGGAATATTGACAACTGATTGCTGCTAGATGAGGAACAGCTGATCTTCCTAAAACAAGGATCTCTAGATAGGCTGACTAGATTCAGCAGATGGACAGCACTGGGGAATGGCTGGGGGCACTGGCCACACAGTGGACAGTAACAGGGATGACAGAGTATATGGGCTCCAGTGGGGGGGAGGCTATGGGAGGGTGCCACTTGGGAAGTGGGTATATAGATGAAAAAGATTTTTTGGGATGTTCTGTATGAAATACACACACAAAAAAATCAACAAATTAAAAAAGATATATTTGAGGAGGAAGCATAAAAATTTACTTCATGTTAATTAGTAGAGGTGATAAACATTACCATTGAAATGACGACTTTATAGCCATACACAGGTGCCAAGGATCTGAGTGCAACCAAGTATGACTAGTAATAATCAGACAAATATAGTTTTTTACATCTAAGTGTTAGTAGCATTAAAAATGAGTCTTTCTGTAGGACATGGTGTATTTTAAAATGAAATGCAGATCTTCTTTAAAGGTTAAAAACTCATTCAATTTTATGTCTTACAGGGTTTGTACTGAGTTTACTATTGTATAACTGTATTAATTCAATTGTGAACCCAAAAATTTACAGCCACTTTTGAAAGATGTATCTTTGTACCAGAAATTGTTATTGAATATGTTAAAGTCATAATGAAATGCTTCTTCTAATCATGTGGTTATTAAATAAATAAAAAAATGCAAAAAACTAATAATTAGTGTAGCTTAGAATGTCTCCACATAATTATAATTCTGATTAGAATGAACTTCACTTCACAACTTCAGGGTTCTGTTACCTCTGGGCTTGGTTTGGTTTAGTGGTAGGAAACTGAACCCAGGGCCTTGCACATAATAGGCCGGTACTCTGCACACTGAGCTACATCCCCAGCCTTTGGACATTTAGTTTTATTGTGCATAAGTTATAGTGCTGTTCAAGGTCAAAGAATGTAAGTCATGACTTTGAAAAACTAAGGCTAGCCAAAAAAGTCAGGTAGTAAGTAAAAAAAAAAAAAATGAAGCCACTATAACTTGAATTTTCTTTCTGAAACAGCTAGAAATTGATCTGTCTATTAAAAATATTTCAGGGAGGATAATAAAGCCCTAAACAGTGACCTATAACAGGGAGATGGCTCAGAATGTTTTTCCCAAAAAGTACAGAGCATGTATTTGTCTTAGATTTTCATTGCACGTTGTATATGATGTTCAACCTATTTTAACTCATCTACAAATAGCAACCAACTGATCTTAATAATTCTAGAGGGAAAGTAAACCACGAATATTTAAAATTTATAGAGGTTATATTGTACGGTCTTTTAAAAATATTTTATTATTTTATATGTGTATGAGTGTAATGCCTGCATGTGTGTAAGTGCATCCATGTCATACAGTGTCTGTGGAGGTCAGAAGAAGGTGTTGGATCCCCTGAAACTGGAGTTAGGACAGTTGTTAGCTGCCATATGGGTGCTGGGAATCCAACCTGGATCCTCTATGAGAGAAGTCAGTACTCTTAATGCTGAGCCATCTCTCCAGCTCCGTATAGACTAGTCTTAATAATTTGAAGCAAATTATTGAAATGAAACCTGAATTATTTTAATTTATAATTTCATATGGTTTAAAAGAATGATAGCCATTGTTTAGGCATTATAACCCAGAAATGGAGAGCCTTTTAAGTAGTAACTCTGGTGGTATGATCAGGAACACTTCAGATTCCTGGCTAGGAAGGAGTTTATTCATACTTTTATATCATTCCTACAATTCTGCCTTTTATACCTCAACTTATCTTGATGGATCATACAGCTATGTCCCCCAATTGCTTCAGGTTTTTAAATTTTTTCTTCTCATCTTCATGCAAGAAGATGGCCCTGGAATTTTGAGTTCTAGATTTCTGAGGAGTGTTCAGATGAGCCTCGTATTAAGATTGTAAGCTTGGTATTAAGGTTGTGTCAGTAAATGCACCGTAATTCTCACCTGAGTTCAGATCCCTTAAATTACAGGAGGTGGGGGTAGATAAGTTCACAAAAGGTAATTCTGTTACTGATCATTCACACTGGGGCCATGGTACAGAAGTGGCCTCAGTGAATTTCTGATATGGAACGCGAAGATTAAACTTACTAGCTAAAAGACAGAGTTGGATCAAGCCAAGGTTTCTACTACCATTACCCAACAAAGTCTAGTTCCTTGAACCGTGATGACTGGACGACAAGTGAGCATGCATCTTCTCTGTAGAGGAGCTGAGCCACGCAAACTTGTCTCCAGCTTTTAATCTACTAATTAGATAATGAAGTTCTGGAAAGAGGCCAGGACATTTATGCTATTGAAAGTTAGCTCTTCGTGGAAGACCAAGAAGTAGAGGGAAATAAACATTCCTTTGGAATATCTATTAAAACTCAAGTGAATGTCACAGTAATTTACAAACATCAATATTTCCTCGTAGATAGATAAGTAACTCTATACCATTTTACTTTATGGAGTTTAGTATTTAATAGATTGATTACATATATTTATATATACTTGATAAAATATACATATGAATTTATATGTGTAGATAAATATTAATTACAAATCAGTGTATAAATAAATATAAATATAGCATATACATGCATGAGGTTTACTTGAATACTTTTTGAGGCGATACATCGTTGGATATTTTATTTGTAAAACTAAAAGAGGAACAGTTGACTTTAGTGAGTTTTAATAGAGCCATGTTGACATTGACATTAAGCAATATTTCCCAAGAGCTTTTAAATATTATTCATTCTGGCATTTATTAAATAGAAGAGAGTGGTTTCCAACCTGTAATCTCAGAAAAATAATAACACAGCCCCCCCAAAAGACACTGCAGATACAAAACTCATAATAACCAAGCAAATAGAGTTGGGATCAGAACCCAGGTGATCAATTAGAAATACACACCTATCTGTACACTCTTCAGGACTCTAAAGTTCTTGGGACTAGCTTGATATTCCAGTGTATTAGGGTTATTTGGGAAATGTTGGACTCTCTAACCACTTTCTAGTGTCCAGGTTTATATGATTTCTAATTGATCCTATACAACCCACCCTGAGAATGGAAAAAGAGGGAACTCAGTTCCATTCTGTTATGTGAATACCCCACCTTTGGTACCAGAACCCCAAAAGAAGTTTATTGGCAAAGAAAAACAAATATTGTATTCTTACCTCTCAAGATACATGGAAAATCCAAAGCTAAATATTAGCAAGCTAAAACGAGAGTTAGATAAGGTGATCCCCCATCCAGCCTCTGCTTGTGGCATCAGTGGAAGGGCAGAGTCACCTGAGGAGGTGAGCCACCTCTTTTGCTACCTTTTGGAACAGAAGACCATTTCATAAGATTCAGAGAGAGGGCTGAGAATGTAGCTCAGTGGTAAGACTGTGGTGCGTGTTCCAGGCCCTGGGTTTCATTCCCAGCAGTGTCCCCCACCCAAGGTACCAATCAATCGAATCAATCACTTGATTAAATTCACTCTACACCCATGCTTTGAAAACTGTTTACTCAGCTAGACAAAGAAGAGAAAAAGAGTTACCGTCTAATACAAGGTAACTATAAAAGCCTCACAACGCACATGCCTAAATGTTGAGGTTTTCCTTTTCAGACAAGAAAAAAGATGAACTATTGTCACTACATGTTCTCAGCCTCAGACTGGAGCCACACACTTCAGTGAGGAAAAGAAAGAAAAGTCATTAAACTTGAAATAAAGGACTGAAAATTTATTACTAGTGAATATGTTTGTGTTACTATGTATCTATAGATAAATGAAGTGAATTTAACCATTTTGATGAAATCAATGTAAGAAAATAAATTATATTTTCTTTATCAACAACAGATAGAATGTGAAAAATCTAAATTCCAGTTTCAGTAGCTTGAAAGACTATCAGATACCTGGGATTAATCTAGTAAAAATGGCAAACTTTATTTATAACAAATGAGAAAGAGAAAATTCCTTACACAAATGGCACTTAGGAAAGTTCAATTTCTAAGTAATGATAAAAAATAAACTTGATTTTATTCATAAACAAAAACTGAGCTAAGTAAACAGTCATGAAAAGTTGAAATTTTAGGTGATAATTTCGGAGAGTGTTTGCATGAATATGAGATGCGTAACAATTAGAAAAACATCTTCAAAAGGATTAATCAGACAGGAAAAGATGAATGTATTTCACTGTATTAAAACTGAGAATATATATTCACCACAACACCCTATTATGCAGTGGAAAAAAGAACAGATACAGGAAGGTTGAGACAAGCCCTTGGAATGGCACCCCCCTCACAGTTCGCTGCACCCTCCTGCATCAAGAAGCAGCCAACACAGCGCCCTACCACATGCCCATAAGCAAATCTGACAGAAAATCCCTCAGTTGAGGTTTTCCCTTCCCAGGTGTGTGTCAAACTGACATCAAGATTAGCCACCACAGTGACTCACAGGTGAACCGAATGGACATAGTCGGAGGTATTTCTCCTGGACACAGGTTCCCTATGAGTTAGGTGTGCACAGCAAAAATAAGCTAAGATAAAAGCTGTAAACTTTTTGGTGCTTTATATAAACTCTTCAAATGTACTCTATAAATTCACTTCCTTGAAACAATTTTCTTGAAAAAAAATCAAATTGTATTATTTAACTCCAATGCAAAGAACAATTTAAAAGTAATATCTTTGGTGTTCAGCTCAGCTACTCTGGGGTCTCCCAAGAGATACATTATAGGTGGAGACTTTAAGGCAAATAAGCTATTGCATTTCTCTGTAATGCCTTATAATACCCCCTAGCATTTGCTTTAGGTGAGCGCAGTGTTTCTTCAGTGAAATCTCATATGCTTTTCCAAGTCCGCCCTCACTTCTGTTGCTTTCAAGTCCAAAAGAAAAGTATCATCTTAACTTCTGCTACTGAAAACTCGAGTTTGTGACATGTATTATAATCTACTTTCTAGATTGGTTTATACTTTATATTTCTGAAAACAATTATGAACAACTGCATCTAAGTTTTAAAATGGAGATGGATATACAATGGTATTTTTGTGGAATTGTTGTGACAGGATAGTGAAATCCTGAAGAATACTGATGTTGCATCTGCCCACACAGATCTGAGTCCTACCTAGTCAGTCCCTGGCTATACGACCAGCAGCAGGGGATTTGACCCTATGTGCCTCATGAAGTATATTCACCTGTAAAATGCCCCTAATAGTAACATCTACTTGGATAATTGTTATCAGAATTCTATGTGTTAATATTTTTAAGCAATTAGAATAGTGCTGGGCCCTAGAAAACACGATTTAAATAATGCCTTAATAGAATGTGAATTAGTTAGGCTCCTGTACCTTTTGCTTTTTATTTTTTCATGGGCAAAATGAAAATCTTTAACATCGAGTATTGTGAGGCTGAGTGTGATGGAACACACCTGTAAGGTAATGCCAAAGGAGCCTGAGGCAGGAGGATGATGAGTGTCTGTGCTACTGAGAGACATGGTAGAAAAGAAAGTTTATGTGATTGTCATTAAAATAGCAATAGTACTGATTGCTTGGTAAAGTTTTTTTTAAAATATGGGGACTGGGCGATGGCTCAGTGGATAAACTACAGGAGGACCTGAGTTCAGATCCCCCAAACCTATGTAAAAGCAAAAGCCTGGCAGGTGTGGCTATCACCTATAACCCCAGCACCCAGGGGATGGTATCTTTGTGGCAAGCTGCCTAGCTTTACTCACTGGAATTGGTGAGCAAGCTCAGAGTTCAGTCAGAGACTCCACCTGCCTTGGTAAATAAACTGGTGAGTGACTAAGGAAAACACCTAACCTCAACTTGGGGCCTCCACATGCATGCACAGGCACCCACATACATGCATGCATTCCATGCACACATAAACATGTTAAAAAATTGGTAGAAGTTTCTGTGTACTGTGTAATTCCTGTTGAGCCCTGGCGTATCTTCTACAGAAGAACACCTATGTTTATTTTACACCTTGCCTTGCGTAAGAAGGAAAGGTTTTTCCAAGCAAAAGGTATCACATTAATCATCCTGACCCCAGTAGCTCTTGACATCATAATTAATCCATATAAATTACCCAAGTGATAGTAAGAAAATAATTTATATAATCTGTGATATGAGAAATCAGTTGTTTCATTATTCATTACCCATTATGAAATTTTGATTTAATTTAATTTGTTGTATACTATTTTACTGCTCTATTAACTTAATGATTTGAGCAATTATTTATAGTTTGTGATACTAGGTAACAGATTTAGTGGATATTATTATTCATGATGAAATAATGTTTATGGATATTATGGAAAATTCTGTTTTAATCTGAATGCTGTTTGCTGTTTGATTATAATGAATTCATTTTCTTTTTATAAAATTCACAGGAAATAGCTGTAAATCTACTTTTCCATTGGTAGAGAGGTATCCTAATTCTCAGTATCATGTAACATAGAAGAGGCAGCTGACAGTGTTCTTGTCCTTCTTGGTTTTTCTTATCTGTTTATTTATGACACTGTCCCTGGAGGATTCCAGGGTCAAGAGAAGAAGATAAGCCAGCAGATACTCTCCCATTGTTTATTTTTCCAAGACCACAGCTAATTACTAATCTTCTGTTGCTACTTCTGTTCTTAGAAATTCCTCATCCATATCTTTGTCCTGACCCTACAGCATGTTCCTCAAGTCAGCACTTAGACTTAGACTTTGAATATTGTGGTTAATTTGTTCTTGTGCATTTCTTTGGCCATTTGGCTCTAGATGTATAGACTGACTGGCATAATGATTATTGAGGTATTAGCAGGAAAAAATTATATGACAACAGTTTGAATTTACTTGCAGTCTTTATTATTTTATTGATTTGGAATATGCATATTTATTTTGAGGCAGGGTCCTTACTGTGCAGCTCTGGCTGGCCTGGAACTAATATGTAGACTGGGCTGGCCTTGAATTCACAGAGATCTGCTAGTCTCTGCCTCCCTAGTGCTTGGATTAAGGGCATATGCCACCACCACACCTGGTCTAATAGTCATACTTTTCTTATGTAAAAATGAATGCTTTGTTTACAGAATGTACCCATTCTTTGGGAGATGTGATATATGCCATCTTGTCTTTCTAAAATATGGAAAAATCACATATTCTGAAATATATTTGGCCACATGGTCACATGTAACTTGTAATCAAAAGCACTGTATAATTCTAAGAATATAAAATTTATAATTAAGAATGTTTTAGCTTAACTAAAGTTATAATGTATTAATGACACATTGTAAAATTAGGGTCAGTAGTTCCAACATCTTTGAAATGAATAATTATTATTAATGAAGTTTGTCAAATTGTTCATGGAAATTTTTAGTAAAAGGCTAAAGGTTTGAGAAACTGGCGAATGCCCAATTCTCACATCTCCTGTTTCAAAGGTATACTTGACTGGCTCCACACTTTACATACAGGGACTGATAGCGAACTGTAAGTTCATGTGAACGGTTGACTGTTACAAGCATTGAATGCAATAATTTGGGGTGTTATGGGGCACCAATTTAACATGTTGAATGTATGCATAACTCTTAATGACCTTCAGTCTTAAGGAACATTTTATATAAATTGCATTGTTGTGATAGTAACATTTTGAAAAATTATTTATTTAATAACCACATAATTAGAAGAAGCATTTCATTACAACAGCATTGACATATTCAACAACAATTTCCAGAGCTAAGATACAGCTCTCAAAATTGGCTGTAAATGTTTAGGTTTACAGTTGAATTAATACAGTTATACAATATTATACTCAGTATAAACTCTATAAAACCTAAAATTGAAAGATGCTTTAACCTTTAAAAAAGATCTCCATTTCATTATTAAAATATAGTGTTTCATGATAGTAACATTTTCAGTTAGAATGCGTATTACTAATTGTGCAGACCTTCATGAGCAATGCTCACATTTATTTTCTTTTAACAATCTAATTTTCTAAACTATTGTTTTTAGGCATTTGGTGCCAGGAAGTACCCAGTTCTTCATGAGATCATCGTTGTACAACACGAAATACAGTTCATCTGCAATGACTCGTTCCAATGTTTTGTTCACGTCGCAATATGGCCATTTGTGAAGCTGAGTGGAAGATGGCCATGGGTTATGCATAATAGCAATTCGTTAATTTCTTCCAGTTGAACCTTCGAAGGAAGTGACCCTCAAGTGCTGTCTTATGTACATATGTCATAGAAATGTGTGAAATATATACACACGTGCACTCAACATATAGATATATATTTATTATATGTAAGAATTAGCAGAAAACTGAATATAAGACTTAACCTTTCTGGAAATGTAATAAACCATGTTAAAACTGTTTACACAAATATGCAAACATGTAGAATTTGCTAGGTTTATAATTAATTACTTCCTACTAGAAATGTTATTTTTGCTGCAGAGTATATAAAACAGAATTGATCTTGATGATCCCATTACAGTGTTAAATTATTTTCTAGATAACGGCTTTTGACTTGAGAAAGCACTGGTTAGTATAGTATCTATGGCTTCTCTTGCTCATACTTGCTATTTAATAGTGAAGATTTAGAAACCTGGTGTTGGCTTCATGGTCGGATTAGGACAAAACGGGTTTATCATTATTACAGCACACTCTAATATCCTAACTTAACTAGCCAACATTTAATTCCCCTATATGAAAATTTAGCTACTTGTGATAGTGTGCATTTTCAATAGAGATCTGATATGACTGTGTTATGATCTAAAATGGGTGACAATCCAGTGGGTTAAGAATAAAATGTAAACTAGTTTTCAATGGGGAGTCACGTTAAAGAACTGAAAACGATGGTAACGACCGAATCTTTCTGTATGACTTTTGTGTTACATAGCACTCACTTTTGTTTGGAAGTGTATCATTGATCAGTTTAAGTCTCTAAATGTTGAGACCAATTTACATTGAAAAGTCTGACAACAGTAGTTTCTCATTGAACCGGAGAAAAGAAACAATTGTGAATGGAAGACTCCAGTGATCACATATTACTCTTCACTGATGTGCCCCTGGGGGATTCTTTTAATCACAGTGCAGTAGGAAGCTGTCTTCCTGTGCAAAGGCATTCTGCATGAGTTTCGGAGCAACCTGTTGTCTTTCTCTCTTCTCTTGCCACAGCTTTAGAACCAATGAGGGAGCTTTCCATTTTCCATAAAAATATAAACTATACTCTCATTGATTGAATTAAGAAAGTATAATATTTACTTAAACTTTTCCCCAATGGTTTTACTCACGGATGTTAATTATCTGCAAAACTCAGGTAAAACACCTTTTTATATCCTAAAAGTTTCTTCCAGTAAATCAAGAAATGACCTCAGAGCGGAAGAAATAAGAAGCAAATTGGGCTGGGTAGGTGGCAACCCCACATTGTAGGCTGTATGGATTTTGCTTTTAGAACCATATTTGGATAGTGTTCTTGACTGAAGTGCTCATTCCTTATGCAAACTGCTGCTAGCTTCTTGGTTTCTGCACGGCTGCCTACCCTGCCACACTTCAGCAGAGACTCTTCCTTACTGGCCGCATCCCAAGTCATTTAGTGTTGTGTCTTTGAAACAGAATAAAGCTTTCAGGACAAAAGAAATGCATGTGGTGTTCAGGAGTCCATTTTGTGACTTCTCAACTATATTATACATTTCTTAGAAGAAGCAATACAAAAATTGCAATATTATGAAATTTCTGGAAGAATAATCAACAAATCAGCCCCTTTATATAGAGTATTTGTTATCATTTTTCTTTTAAATCCATGATCTAAAAGTCAGGGAGTTGTGACTTAAAATGACTGGTAAGTAATGCCAACTCAGTTTGCTGGTCATTCTCTTTCTTGACCTTAAATTACAGATGATTATTTAATTTACTAGAGCATATGCTCTGAAACTTCTGTCTTGTACAGGAAGGGTGTATTTATTTAAATAAAAATATAGAATGTCCAACTTTAGGAATTCTCACCTTAGAAACACATATTAAAAGCTAAGAGTAAATTTAAATTCATGAAACTGCCAAGTATTTGGTGAAGAAATATTGTTTTTCTAGCTACTCAAGTCTGGTCTCATTTTGAGCAGCAGAATTTCCTTGCCTGCATTTTCCTGTTTTGATGGGTCTGGTTGTGAGGAAAGCCATGTGTTCATTATTTGTGTCCACTGCCTGGTGTGCTGTGGGCTGTGGTTGTCATGGCACCATTCCCCAATGAGCAGCTAAGAGACAGCATGGTGATGAGCCCTGGAAATCTTGGGAGACCATAAACAGGTATTAGAGGGCTGAAAGAACCCTTAGTTATATTCTCATGAAGTTTTTATTCATAGGGTTAAGGTATACCAAAAATATCTGAGAGTGTAAGTCTCTCTCTGTCTCTGTCTGTCTCTGTCTCTGTCTCTCTGTCTCTCTGTCTCTCTGTCTCTCTCTCTCTCTGTCTCTCTCTCTCTCTCTCTCTCTCTCTCTCTCTCTCTCTCTCTCTCTGAGTTGTCTGGGAAAACTCCAGAAGGTACTTGATTTCACCAGAATTTTTTAAAAGGCAGTTTGGTTAAATTACAGTGGGAGTATATTTTCATTTTGTTATAGAAAGGCACCCATGATCATTTGGCAGAGTTCAAGATTGGAATGCATCCCCAAGTGATGATAGGGATGATTTCCAAATTGTCCAATATCAACTTGTTCTAAATCAGCACCTACAGACATAGTCTAGAACAGCAAATTAGTTTTCGCTTGTTAAACCAGCTTGTGGATCTGAATCTGTTAAAGGACCTGTTGAATTTGTGCTTAGATGATTTTACCACCCACAAAATTCATTTTGTTAGCTTTCATTTATCTTTAATATATAAAAATAGAGTTATATTTGTATCAAATATGAAGTGTATAGGTAAGAAACTCTGTAAGATGCAAAGGTCTATCATATGTCTAAATGAGGCATAAATACACAGAAGTTTTCGTTATGCCTCCTCCCTAAATTAAACCAAAGCAAACGAAAACCCCTTTATTTTCACCTAGTGTTTAAGCATCATTAAAGGATAAGTGGCTCCTAGACCTCAAGGAAATGATTCCTTTAGAATTCTCCTTTTAGCTTAGAAAGCAGATGCATATGCAATTCTGCTAATTTGAAATTTAAGATGTTTTACTATAAATTCAATGCTTTCTTTCCTTTGACTTGTCAGTCACTCTGTTTAAAAATTTTCTTAAAAATCTAAACATATGCAATACATACCCCTTCACAAGTACCAAAAAGGTAGTTGCATACATTTTATTATTTACCTTTCTATAAAGTACTGATTCATTATTAACTACATATTAAAAAAACAATAGCAGATGTCTCAGGAGTGACAGAAAACACGTTCCTTTTCTCGTTGGCAATGCTAATTTGCATTTTGAATTTACTTGGTTCTAAGAATTAATAATAAACAGCATAACTATACAATTGTGCTCCTGTGACCTGGTCATTTTTTGAACATTTGTTTTTCTCTTTAAATTGGGAACTTCAAGTTTGTAAAGGCCATATTACCTGCATATTAATTAATAGATATTTAAATATTTTGGACTAATGATTGCTTACGAATACACTTAAAATATAGAAAACTATTTCTTATAGCAAAACTATTCCAGGACTGGAGAGATGGCTCCATGGTTAAGAGCACTGGTTGTTCTTGTGGAGGACCCAGGTTTGATTCAAAGCTAACATGGAAGTTAACAACTTGTCCTAAATCCAGTTCCAGGGCATTGATACCCTTTCCTGACCTCCGCAGGCATTGCATGACACAGGTGCGTTTACATTATGCAGGAAATGCACTCATACACATAAAATAAAAATAAAATTAAAAAAACCTGTTCTTGCTGCTTTTGCTTTCTCTATTTTCATTTTTCCTTCTTTATTTCTTTTAAAGCTTTATACTGTGCCTGGACAAGGTCAAGAAAAGAAAAATCTTGCCTTTTTTTTTTTTTGAGAGAGGGTCTCCCTGTAACCCTAGCTGGTCTAGAACTTGCTATGTAAACCAGGCTGGGCTTGATCTCACAGGAATCCTCCTGTCTCTGTTTCCCAGTGGGGAGATTAAAGGCACACACAACCACACCCAGCTGAAATTTTGCCTTTAAAACATTGGTCTTCTTGGAATTTTATAGTAGTGTGTTTTTGCTTGAGCAACAATAAAACTTCGATAAAAAGCTGTACTGGAGATCAAGTTCAGTTTGCTGAGACTTTTAGGGGCACAGTGTGCTGGAATCTGTTTAGCTAAAAAGCATTAACTGTGTGGATTCATGTAAAGCCAGATACACATAACAGTTCTGCAACCAGAAACTGATGCATTAAAACTTGTATACACGTGGAGATTGCTTCCATTTGGGGGGTTATCATAAATAGGTCTGTGATATTGAAAGAAACCTACTCAGGTAACACGTTGTGATATTAAGTGGGATATATTATCTATAAAGAGCTACATAAAGCTTTTATTTTATCCTCACCTACTAACTTGAAAGCTCTTCCTTTGACAAATCATTCAACAGACTATTGACTCCTAAATTAGTAAGAAGACTTATCTTTCCAAAAGTAGTCAGATAATTCTGTTCCTTTCAAAGGCTAACAGCAAATTTTGGTCTTTAGCTGTTTGGTTCATACAATGGCTATTGGGCATGGTAAAGCATCTGAATTTTAATGGGCTTGCAGAGGAATCTGGGTTTGAGGATTAGTGTGAAGGAATACATTTGCGAACATGAATCACGACTCAAATTATCCCCGTGTGCTTTACTTTCTGTATATGAATACAAATGTTGTTACAGAAAATATGCTTGAAATGTCAACACAGTGTGCAATTAGCATTGCATTGTCATCCAGCATGTGATATCTGTATGGTGAAATCACTTCAATTACTCAGATATGTTACTATAATAAAAAGTTTAACAAAGAAGCTATAATATGTCATCAAATGTTTATTTCTGTTTTAAACACACACACACACACACACACACACACACACACACACAGGTTTTAGTAACAGAGGCAATTGGCTCCCAATTAGGCTTTCAGTTTGATGAGCATATTTTCACAGTAGTTCTTGCTGCTGTACAGAGCTCTGAGAGTACTGCCAGCTACTAGAGTCAGGTCAAGTAAATAAAATTATTGTCAACGTCTCTTCATTGGCTGGAAGACAGAATGTTCTAAGATTTAGACGTGACATTTTAATCTGATTAAAATGATATTATCTGAAGCATGAACTCCATTTTGGGGGGAATTCATCATCATTTGTTAATAATATATAAAGCCTCAAGATGAAGCACATCTCAGTCTCATTGCTCTTCATGTCTTGTTCTTTAAGATGTTTTAAACAAATTTAGGGTAGTTTTCCTTTATTTATTTGATATGCTGGGGAATGAACTCAAAGCTCAATGCATTCTAGGCAGGATTCTACAACTGAACTAGGCCCCTAAACCGGGAGAGTTTTCCTTGGAGGAAATCAATTAGGCAGTGCAAAATTTAACACAGACATGCTTTGACTCTTTTAATTGACAACCAATGGGAAAATTGTTGACTCTGTCGCTCTCTGTGTGTGTATGTGTGTGGTGTATGCATGTGAGTGAACACATGTATAAATGCTCACCATGCATGCATGTACAGAGGAATCCTCCTCTATTGAGCTCCACTTTATTCCCTTGAGACAGGGTCTCTCATTCACCCTGGAGCTCATCATTTTGTGGCTAGGCTGCCTGACCAGCAAGCCCCAGGGCTCCTCTGGTTTCCACCCTCACTCTCTCCCCTGCCCTCAGTGTTGGGACTACATGTGCACGTGGCCACATTCAACTTTTATGTGGGTGCAGGATCTGCAAGCTTTCACCCTCATGCTGGTGCAGCAAGTACCCTTACCAAGGCATCTTCCTGGCCCCCAAATTGACTTTTAAACATATATTTTAAAAGATTCGTATTATCTATAAAAGCTTCTATAAAAACCTAAACCATTATTTGATTTTTTTCAGGCACCGATAAAGATAATGCCAAGTTGTATGTTTAGTATGTCCCCATTTTATCAAATAAATTATATATCAAATACTCAAATAATTCAGATGTATAATCCAGCTTAGTTAAAAATCTGAAAATCCTTAATTGTGTGATAAAATATCCTGAAATAATTTATAGTGTTAGAAAACTAAACAAACTTATTATCTTCAAAACAAAGTGAATATTAAGTTCTTTTGTTAGTAAGATAATAGAATTTTTAAAATTATTTTTATTTTAAGTGTATGAGTGTATTGCTTACCTATAGGTAAGTGCATCTGTGTCGTGCAATGCCTGTGGAGGACAGAAGAGGCTGTCAGATCCCCTGGAACTGGAGTTATGGACAGTTGTTAGCTGCCATGTGGGTGCTGGGATTTGAACCCGGGTCTTCTGCAAGAACAACCAGTGTTCATAACTGCTGAGCCATCTCTCTAGTCTGATAATAGAATTTTAAGCCAATTTGGAGAGAGATTTTAATGATCATTCATCATGCATGTTCAGAGTATGATGACGACAATGCTCATCACTATGGGCTGGGAAATCTGGAAAACAAAGTCGTGTAAAAGTTGGCTGTGTTGCTTTACTGTCAAGATCTCTAAGCATTTGGTATCCTAAGATGCATTGAGAAAGAGGACTGCCAATGCATCTCGGTGGTGCAGTGCTTATCCAATACAAACAAGGCCCTGAGCTCAGTTCACTGACTTCAGAAACAAACAAAACACAAATACCAAGAATCTAGAAACTGACTAGAATGTGCATCGGTTCTACAGTTACCACAGAACCTTGTGTTGTAATGCAGCTCCCATGGCTAGACTTTTACTGAGCAAACTCAGGAAAATAGCAAAGTAAACCAACTCATCCACTTGTAAGTAATCAAGATAGATAAACAAATGAGCATGGTGTTATACTTATGGACACAGAGAATTAGACCTGGTGTCAGGAATTTGCTAGGACTTGTTGCTTGAGAATTTAGTCATTTACAGACAACCTTTGAACTTGGTTTACAAGAGGGATAGCTTGAGTTCAGGAACCATGGTGCGAGATAAATAACCTTAATGGTAAGCAAGAATAATAAATATTTGTAACTGTGGCATGCAAAGTAGCGTAAAATGCTTAAAGAATGCCATCAGAGCCCTTGTGAAAAGACATTAACCATCTACTGAGTGTTATATAATAAAGACTTCTGTCTTTAGTGAGAACTTAGTTACTCATTGGAGACTTGCATACTGTCCTGGCATATTTAGCAGTGCTTGACGGCCCTCTGAAAGTATATTCTCAAACAAAAGGCCTGCTGCTGGGGGAGGAACATGAAACATATTCAAAGTTTGTTGTATTTGTGAGAGACAGTATTTATCATGCCAGATGTTTCTCTATGTCTGTTATTTAAAGAAATATGATAGCACTTTCTAGTTTTGTCATAGTTCTGTTTTATGCCCTGCCAAATAATACTAAATTAATACCCCTCTTTAACAATACAAACCTATCCTTTGTTATATTTAGGGCGTGTAAACCGAACTGTAGTATGATGGTCCGAATTGAAAAAAAATGAAGGATTTTTTAGATTTTATTTTTATTCTTAATTAGGTGTATGTGTGTGTTTGTGTGTATGTGCATGTGAGTGCAGGTACCTGCAGAGGCCAGAGGAGGGCATCAGATCCCCCCTGCCCCAGCTGAAGTTACAGGCAGTTATGAGCCACTCCATGTGAGTGCTCTGCAAGAGCAGCCATCTCTCCAGCCCCCTAAATGGAAATATTTTATGCAGTTCTCAAAAGCATTGAGATTTTTGTAGGCTGAATAGTGAATGTCTTGGCTGTTACTCAGAAATGGACACTCACCATTTTTAAACTATTTTCACCACTATCTTCAATAACTGATACAGTAGAAACAGAATGAGAATTAGCAAAAGTGTCCTAAGAACAGGTATAAATGGAGATACAACCTTTGCATATTACATAGACACTGCAATAACAATTTAAAAGTAACCACAAAACCATATCTATTCGGTCAAGCTTTGTTGTATTATAGCTGTTCTGTTTGCTTGTGTTAGAATGAGATACCTCTAAAAAGATGAAGAAACAGGATAAAATTAATTTTTACACCTGCAGCATGCTGTTAGCAGTAAAAATGTTAATATATCTGGGTGTTTATAATATAGCTGACTTAGAGAAAAAGTATATGACACAGTATATCTGAAAAAATGAGAATGTATAAACCTAATACAATCTACGAAAATACCATTGCCGCATATTACCTCATTTTCATTAAAATGATGAAAATGTGAATACAGAAAATCGCTTAGTCCTCGGGCTAAAAATAGGTAGATCATCAAAACATAAAACCATTTTAGCTCAAATTGGTATTTGTTCAGTAAATGTTCTATTTTATAATGCGAAAAGTACAAAGGAAAAATTCAAATTTGGGGGAAGAATCAGGGTTTTAAAAAAACGAAACAATTAATCCTATTGTTTTGTCTTCTGAAACTGAAGCTGCAGATTTGTTGTGAAATGTTCATTGCAAATAAAGAATGGACTCCTCAGGAACTAGCTTTAGTTCGCCCAGCACCACAGCATGCTAGCCTCTGGTTCCCCAGTCAAGTATTATATTCGGCTTTCAAATTACTTGTCTCCCGTCATCTCAGTGTCCAAATTCTATCCCATTCACTTTCTCATGTGAAGCAATGCTGTGTTATCTCTGGAGCTATGAAGCCAATCTTGTCTACTTTGTTTTAACTAAAACA